TGTGTGTGTGTGTGTGTGTGTGTGTGTGTGTGTGTGTGTGCCAGAGTCCTTACACCAAGTGTCTTCCTTGATGTCTGTCTTCCTTGATGTCTGTCCACCTAATCTTTAGAGCTATTTGAATCCAGCACTCACTGACTGGATAAACTGGCTGGCTAGCAAGCCACAGGGATGCCCTGGTCTTCCTGCAGGCACACACACACCCCATATATACCCTCCAATACATACACACACACACCACATATACCCCCCACATACACCACACACACCACATCTGCCCACCCCCTCATTAGACACACATACATACCACACATGTAGGCCACATACACCACATACACCCACATACCCACACCAGACACACATATACACACACACCACATATACCCCCCCATACACACACACCACACATCCCCATCACATCCGTTTTGTTTCCTGTGGGTGCTGTGGGTCCAGCTCTGGCCCACGTGTGCACAGCAGTTACTTCACCAACCAGCTGAGCCATCTTTGCTGGTTAATTTTGTCAGTTTGACACCAGCTAAAGCCACCGGAGGGGAGGGACCCTCAGTTGAGAAGACGCCTCCATAAAATCGGCTGTAGGCAGGCTGTAGGGCATTTTCTTAATTAGTGATTGGTGGGGAGGGTCCAGCCCATGGCGGGTGGTGCCACCCCTGGGCTGCTGGTCCTGGGTTCTGTAAGAACACGGGCTGAGCGGGCCATGGGGAGCAAGCCAGTGAGCAGCTCCCATCCATGGCCTCTGCCTCAGCTCCTGCCTTGGCCTCCCTCAGTGCCTGGGTGGGGGTGTGTGAGCCACATAAACCCTTTCTCCCAGGATGGTCTTTCATCACAGCAACAATAACCCTGACTAAGACTCCTCGCTCTAGTCCAAGGATTTTGATTTTTGTTTCCTTGTTCATTTTATTTTAATTTATTTTTCTAGACAGTCTCTCTGTGTGCAACCAGGCTGGACTGGAACTCACAGAGATTCACCTGCCTCGGCCTCCTATATTCTGGGATTAAAGGCCACCATGCCTGGCCTGGGATTTTGATTTGTTTTGCTTTTTTCCTGAGACAGAGTTTCTCTGTGTAGCCCTGGCTGTCCTGGAACTTGTTTTGTAGATCAGGCTAACCTAGAACTCTCTGCCTCCCAAGTGCTGGGGTTAAAGGTTTGTGCCACTGGAGTTTCTTTTTGTTTTGTTTTGAAGACAGGGTTTCTCTGTGTAACAGTCTTGGTTGTCCTGGAACTCCCTATGTAGACCAGGCTGGCCTTGAACTCACTGAGATCCACCTGGCTCTGCCTCCTGAGTGCTGGGATTAAAGGAGTGCGCCACCACTGCCTGGTGCTGCCCAGTGATTCCTTAAAAAAAAAAAAAAATCATTTATGAGCTGGATAGATGGCTCAGAGGTTAAGAGCACTCACTGGCTGTTCTTTTTTTTCTTTCTTTCTTTCTTTTTTTTTTTTTTCAAGACAGGGTTTCTCTGCGTAGCTTTGCACCTTTCCTGGGGCTCACTTGGTAGACCAGGCTGGCCTCGAACTCACCTGATTCACCTAGCTCTGCCTCCCGAGTGCTGGGATTAAAGGCGTGCGCCACCACTGCCCGGCAGCACTGGCTGTTCTTCCAGAGGTCCTGAGTTCAATTCCCAGCAACCACATGGTAGCTCATAACCATCTGTAATGAGATCTGGTGCCCTCTTCTGGTGGGCAGGCATACATGCAGGCAGAACGTTGAATATATAATAAATAAATAAATTTTTTAAAAAATTATAAAAAAACCTATTTATGTGTATGATTATCTTGCCTGATGTAGATATGTGTGCTTGAAGTGTGCACGGTACCCTCAGAGGCCAGAAGATGGTATTGTTATCTCCTGGAGCTGGAGTTACAGACAGTTGTGAGCTGCCATGTGGTTGTTGGGAACTGAACCTGGGTCCTCCAGAACAGCAGCCAGTGCTCTTAACCGCTGAGCCATCTCTCCAGCCTTTTTTTTTGTTTTTTAAAGTGGGTTTTCGCTATGTAGCCCAGCCTGGCCTTGAACTCCTAGGCCTCAGACTCCTGAGCTGAACTAGTTGCACAGCATCATGCCCAGCAAGGATGATGGAATGAGGACATAAAAAGTTGCTCATAGCCGGGCAGTGGCACACGCCTTTAATCCCAGCACTCGGGAGGCAGAGGCAGGCAGATCTCTGTGAGTTTGAGGCCAGCCTGGTCTACAGAGCGAGATCCAGGACAGGCACCAAAGCTACACAGAGAAATCCTGTATCAAAAAACCAAAAAAAAAAAAAAAAAAAAAAAAAAAGTTGCTTATGGTTATTATTGTGAGCACACAAATGTGTGGAGGGGACAACATTATACAGTTGGCTGTCTCCTCCCCCTTTTCATGGGTTCCAGGGACCAGTCTCAGGGCCCCAGGCTTGTGTGGCAGCACCTGGGGAAGCCACACATACAGCAAGCTGTGGGATGATGAGGTCAAAGCGGTGACTCAGGGTTGAGCAAGGCCTGAGAGTCTCGGGCTTTCTTCTGCATTCCTGCCTCTGAGGACACAGGACATTTCCCCCTCAGGGTGCAGGGGCGGGGAGGGACTGGTGTGACTCCTGTGACCTGTCAGCAGCACCAGGGAAGAGCTGAGGGGCCTGTGGCCTGGATGCAGACAAAGACAAGAAGGAAGGCTTTATTCTGGCCGCCACTGAGGGGAGGCTGGCTATCATGGCCTGGAGGGCATAATGGCGGAGCCTGAGGTGAGGATGAGCTGCTTCTCCTCTAGTCAGTCCAGGATCCCAGCTTGTGGGATGGTGCCACCCGCATGAGGGTGACACCTCCGTGTTAGGTTACCTCAGTGAACCTATCTAGAAACTCTCATGCCCAGAGATTTCTCTCCGAGGTGATGATTAGACTGTAAGTTGCTGGCTTCAGTGGAGAAGGCTGGAGGGAAGTCGAGCCTGCCTGCTTCCCCTCTGTCCTAAGGTGCCACACCCAGAGTGGTGTGTCCTAAGCCCTGACGGGTACCTTGCTGTATGGCCGGGAAGATGAGAATAAACCTCTACTCCGCTCAAACGGAGTTCTGACAACATATCAAAAACCAATGCGACAATGCCAGCCTAGTGAGCCACCACGGGCTGGGGGTCGGGGCTGGCTCCTGTCCAGACCGAGGTGGCGACCAGAGAGGGTTCCTGAGCGGAAGAGAAACCAGCTCTACCACCTACCTCCGGGGTGCTCTCACATGCTGGGTGGGGGGACAGCAGGAGGGGCTAAGGAAGAGGGGAATGGGCTGGTTAGGTGGAGAGGCTGGGTAGGAGTCTGAATCAGAGTGGAAAGCGGAGGGGATGGATGAGAACTCAGACACCAGCGGGGGCCATCGGAACAAGGTCAGATACTGCTTTAACCGACTGTCCCATGGCCTGTAAGGGCGTGGAAAGGACACTCCGGAGCACTAGAGATGGACGGTCATGTGCCACAGGCTAATGGAGATGCATGTTTGCCCGTGAGCCCTGAGGCTGCGGGGCCAGGAGGACAGACATCGGCCTGTGTAGTTCCACCCAGGGCTGTATATGGCTACAGTGGTTGAGAAGGTTGAAGTCAGCCAAACTGAGGACATGAGAACGGGGTGTGTGTTTGGGGTGAAGGGCCCTGCCATGGTGCCTCTAAGGAGGGGAGTCGTTTTCACCCTCCAGCACGTGGGGTCCAGGGGTAGAACTCAGGTCATCTGGCTTGGTGCAGCGCCTTTACCCACCTTGCCACTTGGCTAGCCCAAGGGCGAGCCCCTTGAGTATGAAGGCGTTAGTGCCCACCGACCCTGCGAACACCAGAGGGCAAAGCTCAGTTCTTATCTAGGGGCCCATGGATGAAACTTGCAGATGGCAAGTGAGTGTAAAAGCCGGGGGGGGGGGGGGGGGGGGGGGAGGAGAAGGATCCTGAGAACATGAAGGTCAAAGGTTACCAGAGACTAAGCACCAGAGTCCCATGGGTAGGTGGCCATTGTTTGTGTGTCCCCACACTTCCAGGTGCTTGTGGAGTCCAGAAAGGGGCACCTAACTCCCCTGAAGCTGGAGTTACCGAGCTGATGTAGTGCTGGGAACTGAACTCTAGTCCTCTGGAAGAGCAGCAAATACTCTTACCTGTCGAGCTCGCCTTCCAGACCCTTGTTTGGGGTTTTAATAAAGGGCTTTGGGGCCTGTGAGATAACTCAGTGGGTAAAGGCACTTGTCATCAGCCCTGACAACCTGAATTTGATCCCCAGGACCCACACGGAGGAGAGAACCAATTCCCACAATTTTTCCTCTGACCTGTGGCACACGTTTCCCTACCCCACAAAAATAATTTTAATTGAAATTTTTTTATTAGCTGGGTGGTGGTGGCCCATACCTTAAATCCCAGCACTAGGGAGGCAGAGGCAGAGGCAGAGGCAGGCAGATCTCTGTGAGTTCAAGGCCAGCCTGTTCTATAGACTAGTTCTAGGACAGTCAGGGCTGTTACACAGAAAAACCCTGTCTAGAAAAAAATTTTTTAGAAATTTTTTTACCTTGTTTTTTGAGACAAGGTTTCTCTGTGTCATGCACTGACTGTCCTGGAACTCACTTTGTAGACCAGGATGGTCTAGAACTCACAGATCTGTAGCTGGAAGTTTTCCTGTGTTCCTCCCAGTCCTGCAGCCGCTTAGACCCAAGTAAACACACGGAGGCTTATATCAATTACAAATTGCATGGCCATGGCCTATGGCTCAATTTTCTTGCTAGCTAGCTCTTATAACTAAACTCAGCCCATTTCTATTAATCTGTGTGTCGCCATGTGTTCTATGGCTTTACCTGTGTGCCATTACATGCTGCTCCCTGGGCAGTGGGATGGCGTCTCCTCCGCCTCCATCTTTCTTCTTCCTGTATCCCTCCTGGATTTCCCATCTGGCTATAACCTGACTTGCCATAGGCCAAATGGCTTTATTTATCAACCAATCAGAGCAACACATATTCACAGCATACAGAAAGACATCCCACAGCAGAGATCCGCCTGCCTTTGCCTCCTAAACTCTGGGATTAAAGGTGTGCGCCACCACTGCCTGGCTGGGGATTTTGTGGCTGTCAAAGGACTTTATGCAACTCCAGAGGGGAGGCCAGGCCTTCGCCGGGAAGGTGAGCACTCTACCCACTAGGTGGCACACTGGTCCTGGTGACCGGCTTCAGCAGTTGGGGGTCTCTTCTGTGGCTCCATTCTTTCTCAGTGCTGAAGGGAAGAAGAGATCTGAGCCTTCTCCGGGGTTTGGAGCGTGAGTCTCAGTGGAGCACGTGGGGTGGGAGGTGACATGCCAAGCCCCCAGCCCTGATGCCATTTTCCTAGCAATGTAACCCACACCTCTTCTCAAGACATTTCCACCTTCCAGGTTCTGCACCCCTCCTCCAGGCCCCTAGCACTCCTGAAACCTAGGCTTGGATCTCACAGTTTTGGAGAAGTGGCCCCACCTGAACCATCTCTGAAGTGGGCAGAATCCCTTAGACACTGGGATCTGGAAAGCTCAGGGGTGAGACCAGCAGGGAAGAGGGGAAAGGCCACCACAGGGCAGCAGGGGTGGGGCCGGAAGGGGCTGTCACCAGCCTCAGGCCAAGGGCAGCTTGGGACAAGGCAGACCTGCTCCTCTGACCTCTCACCCTACATGGCCCACGTCCCCATGACACACGGCAGTGCCCGTGATGCTGAACCCAAAGTGTCCTGTACTGGGTCATTGCACTTCTAAATCCAGCCCTCGTTTCTTGCCTCTCAGATGAGACAGGATGCAGGTCCCAGCTCACAAAACGGCCATTTCAGTTGTGCAGTCAACAGCATAGAAAAATGATGCACAGTTACAACAAAGGGGGGGGGGGGTGACCCTCCTCGCTCTTCGTGAACAGCTGGAATACAGTCTAAATAGCCGGGATAACGACAGCCACTTCAGGCCACAAGGTAGCGGGATGTATGAGTGTCGCACAGAGAGACAGAAGGATGAGGGAGCTGTTTCTGACCCTGAAGAGAGGTGCAAGGTTCTCGAGAACCCGTCGGGCCCACTTTGGACTTTGCTGCTGTTTATAATGAACTATATCATCACACCCACATGTTGGTGTGTTATCTTTGCTTCTTTGTTGTTTTGAGGCAGTTTCTCTATGCAGCCCTGGCTGTACTGGGACTTGTTCTGTAGCCCAGGCTGGCCTCAAACTCAGAAATCCCGCTGCCTCTGCCTCCTGGGATTAAAGGCGTGTACCACCATGCCTGGATAGACTCTAGATTTTAAATGCCATTAAAAATCTTGTTTAGTGCTTTCTTAGCACAGTAGGCAGCACGTCTACCTCATAATCTGAAGGGCCTGAATTCAAACCTCAGAGGGCAAACATCTCAGCGGTTAAGAGCACTGAGTGCTCTTCCAGAGGACCCAGGTTCAATTCCCAGCACCCACATGGCAGCTCACAACTGTCTGTAACTCCAGTTCTGTGGCAAAACACCAATGCACATGAAGAAGTAAAAACCCTGTTTATAGTTCAAGAGCACAGCTCGAGGGAGTGGGATCGCCCTGCCACCACCCGGGCTCTACAAATCAAGTAAAGGCGCCACCTCTCTGGCTCCCAGGCCTTTTGTTTTTTTCAAAGATCAATTCTCATCCATGTAGTGACGGCTGTCCAGGCACTTGCTATGTAGAATGCAAACAGACCCACCTGCCTCTGCCTCCCGAGTGCTGGGATTAAAGGTGTGCAGCACCATGACTGGTCCCAAAACAAAACTTTTCCCTTTTTTTGAACTTTCTACGAACCGAACCGTTGGCTGTCTTGGAATTCATTATGCAGGTCTTGAAATCACAGATCTCCCTGCAACTACAGGGATTGAAAGCAGGCATCTTTATTTGATGTGTGTGAGTGCTTTGCCTGCATGCATGCAGTGCTGTTGTGAGCCTTGATGTGGGTGCTGGGAATTGAACCTGGAGCCTCTGCTGAGCCATCTCTCTAGTCCCGGCGCAAACTGGTTTTCTATAGGAGTTTCTTTTGTTTTTGTTTTTTCGAGACAGGGTCTCTCTGTGTAGCTTTGCGCCTTTCCTGGAACTCCCTTTGGAGACCAGGCTGGCCTCAAACTCACAGAGATCCGCCTGCCTCTGCCTCCCGAGTGCTGGGATTAAAGGCGTGCACCAACACCACTGCCCGGCGCAAACTGGTTTTCTAAATATTCAAGCACATTGAAGTTAGAACCAGTCAAGTGTATTACAAGTCTGTAACCTCAGCATTTTGGATTAGGAGGTTCAAAGCTAGCTGCAGTTACACCCGAGTTCAAGGTCAGCCTGGGCTACCTGAAACCCTGTCTCAAAACAAAGTAAAGCAGCCAGGCAGTGGTGGTTGCACACCTTTAATCAGAGCGCTTGGGAGGCAGAGGCAGGTGGCTCTCTGTGGGTTCAAGGTCTACAGCCTGGTGTACATCGAGAGTTCTAGGACAACCAGGGCTATATAGAGAAATCCTCTTTAAAACCCTGCTCAAGGAGCAGCAGTGATGGACACAGAGGAGAGAGCAGCCATTCGGGGATGTGCTGAAGGGCTAGAGCTTGTGCAGAGCCTCAGTGGCACATGTGTGGGCCAAGGCTTCAGGCAGCGACTGTTATCTGTGCAGAACCCTAGAAGCTGTACACACTTTAAGCTGGTTAAGTTTGAAAACAGAGCTCAAAGAGCTAGGCGCCAAAGGAAGAGCCTGGCAGGCCTGCACTGGTTGGCAGTACTGTGTGCTTCTGGGACCGTGGCACCCAAGCAGCTGCAGCTACAGGTGGGCAACGGCTGAACAGTAACGGAGACCTGGAGGGCAAAGGGACGGCTGCAGGCAGAACTGGGGCTTAGGAGCACAGGGCCAAGGCAAGTCGGAACTATTTATTTAAGTCTTATTATTTTTTTTTTATTTTTTATTTTTTTTTTTTTGGTTTTTCGAGACAGGGATTCTCTGTGTAGCTTTGTGCCTGTCCTGGAACTCACTCTGTAGCCCAGGCTGTCCTCGAACTCACAGAGCCTCTGCCTCTCGAGTGCTGGGATTAAAGGTGTGTGCCACCACTGCCCGGCCTTTAAATCTTATTTTAAAAGATTACTTATTTGGGGGCCTGGGGAGATGGTTCAGTGGTTAAGAGAACTTACTGCTGTTGTAATGAACCAGGTTTGGTTCCCAGCACCCACATGGCTCACAACCACATGTAACTCCAGTCCCAGGGGATCTAATACCCTCACATGACCTCTATGCATTCTAGAAAAGTACATGGTACACATATATACATGCAGGCAAAACACTCATACAGAAAATAAATACACCTAGTAATTTAAAACGAATTATTTTTGTATATGTTTAAATACAAATTCATCTGTGAAGGCAATATTGGATGTAGGCTCTGGCTCCCCATCTGAAGCAGGGTCTCTTATTTGCTACTGCCCTTACATGCCAGTCTGAGAGCCTGGAGGCTTCTCCATGCCTCCATCTTAGAGCACATGACTGCTGGACTGGATTGGGGTCTGGTCCTGCTTCCTGTGGTGCCATCTACCCAGCTCAAATTATGGACTGCCCCACGTGGATGTGTGTATGAGCAGTGTGTGTATACACCTGTACACGTGTTCAGTGTGTGTACATATGGACATGGAGGGCAGAGATGGATGTTGGGTATCTTCTTTGATTTCCACTGTACACATTGAGATGGAGGCTTTCACTTGAACCCACACCTCACTGATTTGGCTTGCTTGGCATGTATGATGCAAACCCCAACCTGTACCTCTGACATGGCCAGTACTTTGCCCAAGTCTTTGACCCTACTGTAGTGACAAGGAGCACAGGGAGGCCAGCGGTGGCTTGTCATTGGTTTAATTTATTACTGTCTGACTCCAGTGACACTGACATACCCGCGGGGCCTGTGAACTTCCCGGAGAGGCGGCTCTGTCCAGTAAGATACAGTACACGGAGTGGACGGCACGCGCATGCATCCACCCACGCTGAGCTACAGTGACTGGGCCTGGGGAGGTGGATGGTGCCTCCAAGAGGTCCCCTCTCTAGACATTAATGCTGGGAGAGACTCAAGGCCAGGCCAGGGCCGACAGACAGGCCTATTCTTCTCTGCCTATAAATGTGGAAGAGTGCATGTGTACAGTTCTCCAAGTCCGAAACTACATCTGGTGCTACCCATCACTGCTAAGGGCTACTCCATCTCGGCTGGGACGTGTGCCTCGGGGTCAGGACTCTGGAATGTCTGCTTCAGTCCTCCTCGCTGCCACTTCCTGAGCGGTCCTGGAGGAACAGGAGACAGGTTGTGAGTGGGCTGCTACCTAGGCACTCTCCCGAAGTCACGGGTTTTCAAATGTTGTGGAAAAGCCTATGGATCTCAGATCCCAAGGAATATATTATCTTGATACAGCAGAAAGAAAACATCAAAGTTTGACCCCTGTCCTGCACCATGGCAGCCCTGTTACCACTGGGCCTGTTGTACGGAGAGAAACTGGCTTGGGGGTGAAGGACAGGCCACCAAGGAAACCTCCAAGAGGCAGCCGGCTAATTATAGCCATTCTGAGTAGGAACACATGCTCTGTCTCCTGACTGCCATTTTTGGTGTTTGTCTAATGCAGCTCAGACCAGCCTCAAACGTGCAACGCAGCCAAAGATGGTCATGAACTCCTGATCCTCCTGCCTCTACCTCCCAAGTCCTGGGATCACAGGAGTGCTCCATTATGTCTACAGTCATTATTTTATTAAGATTTATTATTAGGGTGGCTAGAGAGAAGGCTCAGAGGTTAAGAGCACTCAGCTGCTGTTCCAGAGGTCCTGAGTTCAATTCCCAGCATCCACATGGTGGCTGACAACCATCTACAGTAAGGTCTGGATCCCTCTTCTGGTGTGGAGGCATATATGCAGGCAGAACACTATACATAGTAAATAAATAAATCTTTAAAAAAAAATTTTTTTTTAGGGCTGGGGAGGTAGCTCAGTGGTTAAGAGCACTCAGTGGTTAAGGCTGCTCTTCCAGAGGACCTGGGTTCAGTTCCCAGAACCCACATGACAGCCCACAACATTTTCTAATTCCAGTTCCAGGGGATTCAATGCCCTCTCCAACTTCCATGATCATCAGGCACACACGTGGCATATACATGCAGAGAAAATATCTATA